TAAACGAATCGATTAATTACAAATTTGTTCCGTAATCACGGATAAATGACACGAGGATCGTGCTCGACAAGAATCGAATCGGTTTCGAGCCGTGAAGAACATTGCGCGTGGCGACCTTCTTTTGGATCGATTCTTTTCACTTCATCGGAAAAGAATAGACGCCGCAAACTGAAGGAATTTGCGAAACGGAATTCTACGAGGGACACCTTTCTTTTCGATTTTTTTATTTTTTATTTTTCTTTGCGGAATAGGTGTTAAGAAGGATGGATCAAGGAAAGGCGATCGAGGAAACATTCCGATTTCTCGAGAAAGAATTTTTGTCCACACGAGATAAACGAGTCGCCAAAATTTATTAGAGAGAGATAATTTTTCTAATTTTTCCCGTTCCACGATCTCGTTCTTCACGAATGGAGAATTTATTCCAAAACAGAGAAAGATCCTTTGGAGAGAGATTTTTTTTCTTTTTTTTTAATCCAATACATCGATGGATTCCAATTTCTTCGCAAATTTTAAATCGAATTAAAATTTTCAAATTCGACGATTTAAAACGTTTCATTCGCTCTCGTCGAGCGTCTCGAAAACGGAGCTGATCAGGGAGAAAAAACGAGTAAAAGACAGTCCCGTTCGAATCGATCTTTTTCGATTCGGCGTATAAAGCGGGAAAGAGAACGGTTTTGCGGGGCAAAACAAGCCTATCAAGTTCGAGGATCGGAGTTTCAACATTTCACGGAGTTTCTGTCGCGGGCCGTATTGTACCGCATTAATTACAGAAAAGGCGCAATCATTCATCCAACGCGGAATGATGCAAAATAGCACGCGGAACTGGTGGCCGATGAACGGCCGCCGATTAACATTCGAGGTATCAGGTTCACCGCTGCCCGCGTGATAATCTCGATATTAATCTTCGTCTTCGAAGACGTACAATGCCATTATTGTCTCGGCCAGCACGATAATTTGCGAATGGTAAAAACTGGACTCGGACTCGTCCCCGCTTTTTTACGCGCAGCGGCGACACAGAGGACGGAAAGAAACGACGGGGGTGAACGACCCCCGCGTTATTTCGTCAAATATCAAAAGATCGACTTCCAACTTTGCCACGGAATGGACGGATGTAATGTAATTTGATGATGCTCGAAAATTTGAAAATCCTTTCGTTTCTGATGTTTTCTTTTTTTTTTTTTTTTTTTTTCTTCAGTTTATCACCGAATTTTTGGTGAATAATTTGATAGATGGACGATCATTACACTCGAAATTTTGGAAATCGATTAGTTTTTCTGACCAATTTTTTTGTGTCTATGGATAAAAGATTCTATGGAGAATTGTTCGCGCAAAACTGAGCAAGGAATGGAATTGACGAATGGATGTGAGTTTAAAAAATAAGAAAGTTTCGATAGAAAGGATAATTCGAACAAGACTGAAATGGATTTTCATAAATTTGGAATTCTCGTGCGTTGTGTTAATTTTCAATATTATTCGATTTCTAACGAATCTTTCGTGAAATTGGAAAAATTTTGACAGAAGAGATAATTTTTCCAATAACTAAATAGATTTTACTCGTTAAAAAAACAATATATTGTTGAGATCTATGTTTTACCAAGCGCTTCGTTAAAAAATAAATCAACGCTGATTTATTTAATTTATGATTAATTTTCTGCCACGTAAATTTGCAAAGAAATTGAAATGTCGAAGTAAGAATTATAAATACTGAGAATAAATTATAACCATCTAGCAGTTCCTCGAGTAATCTCGATGATTTAAAGATTTCACTAGCATACTCCAATTTAGAGAATGGACATTGATTTTCCAATTGGGTTTGATTTACGCGGTATAAACGCCTCCAAGATAATCCCATTTTCCGCGACGAAATGAATACTTCTCGCAAAAACGTTGCTTCCATTCATTTCAACCTTCCATTCCTCTCATTGATTCCTCTCTTTTTAGTAATTTTTAGATTCTGATCGTTACGAATTTTCCATCGAACCGATTTACACATCTTGAACAGATATTCTGTCTCAAAAATAAAAATCTATCCCCTAATTTTCCGATTTTTCAAATTTATCATTCGAATCAAAAAAGAAACGCGACGTGATTTTGATAATAATTTCAAAATTTTTAATAAGAATTTTAAAAAAAAATAAATAAATAAACGAATAATCCAATAACGAATATAAAAATTCTTAAATAATTAATACAAAATTTTTCAATATGATGACGAAAGGATTTTCTCTCTTGAAAAAATGCATCTCCCTGCCCTTCATTTCTCTGAAATTGCACAACCACCTTGGTATAAGAATTCTCCTCTACCAAGAAACGATATTGCATCCATTAACGAGAAAAATGAAACGTACGGATTCCATACCGATTCACGACATTGTCTATCTAATAAATCAACGTAGAATCGTATCAACCAAGTTGTTTATATACCCTGGGGAAAACTAAAAGCGAACTGATTCGCTCCTTAGCTGTAACACGTGTGTTTTGGAACGAGAAATGTAAATCGAAACGGTATAAGGCAAAGGTGAAACAAAAAAGAGGCGAACGATGGACAAACAAATCTGCTTAAAGCAAAGTAGCTCTCTTGACCAGGAAATATCGTTATAATTAGAAGTAACTGGATAGAAATCAGGATTCGTTTCGGAATAAATTGCGAAAGAAATTGTTAAATTATCTATAACAATCGATAATGATGAATAGAATCGAGAAAATTTGAATAACTATAAAATTGTTCTCTCTTAAAATTTTAACGTGATATCACGATGATATCAAGAGAGTACGATCGAAAGTAATTGATATAAAGTTTGTGATTTTGATTAATAAAATATCGCTTTCTACAAATTTGATTTAATGATAACTATTGATATCCACGTATTTTTAATTCATTATGATTCAAATGAAAATTATATAAATTTCATATATTACCATTTTATCCTACTTATTTTTTTAAAATAAGTAATACAATCAGTATATTGATAAATTGTCTTCTTTTATATTCCAATATACGGAGATTTTTTTTTATTCAATATTTAATATACTTGAGCACCGCAATGAATAATAACAGATACTTGAAAAAGAGCTCCAAGAATTTCTTTGAGTCATTAAAAACGCCAACTCCAAAGAGTGGCTAATAAAAACCAAGCAGACGAGTTAAGTTGTGGAAGAGGAAAGCTTAAAAAAGGGTGTTTCATTCAGAATCTTGTTCCGAACCTACTATTACGCGATTCCCGTCAATTACGTTCAATTTTGGCTTTCCTATCGATTTAACTCGATTAGGAATAGTCAACAATAGTCCCTTTAAGCGTGAAATTAATTAAAAATAAAAAATAACAAGAGAAAGAATCATTTAAGCAAAAATTATTGTAAATATCTATCTAAACTCTTTGAATATCTATAAACTCCGATATATTGTTTATATTGTTATAATACTGCAGATTAACTATAAACACTCGAAAAGGAATCTAATCTTCCAAGAAAGCGACGTTGTCGACATCAACACGATGCTTGAACTGTATAATCCATTACAGAGAAATGTTAGATATTTCCAAAATATAAACATAGTAAGGTGTTCCAAAAAATATATAGAAAAGTAAATCTAAATTTTCCTACCAGCACTTATTTATTCTAATAAAATTACTACCTACGATATCTAGCCCATCTAACGTAAACTATCCTTCTCATCCTAAGAATTATTCATTCGAAATTAATTATACCGATAATAATTATATTGATACAATTATAATCATCTAGAAAGGAACGGATACAATCTAGTTAAATATAGTTTTTGGAAGAAAAAGAATTAATTCCACGCTCAAAGGAGCCAGCGATAAAACGACATAAGCGCCTAACCGATAAAAAAAAAGGAGAAAAAAAATGGCGTGAAAGAGTAAAAGGAAAATTACTCACCTTACTCTGCACGTAGTCCAGGGCCAGCATACAATCCGAATATCCGCTCTCGGTCTTGATCGTGGTGCCGCCTTGTCCTGGACCGGTGGAGCAGAACCCGGAACCGACGACTCCGACGGGGCCTCCGAGGCCGGCTGCCGCCGCTGCTGCGACGCTGTCCCGATACCACGGATACATATTTCACTAAGAACACCTAATACAGTCACTTAATCGGTTTCCCGCGTCCAAACACTCGATTCTCGGCAACGAGAAATACGTTCGGCACCGTAGAATAGTCCCGAGGCGCCACGGTTCCTTATTACGTCACTGCGAACACTTGATCGCACTGCCGGTACGAATTTCCCTTCCAAATTTTCTTCTAAATTGAACACGATCCACGTACAATGCTCGAAAAACGTCGAGTTTCTTATTATCTCCTCCTCCTCTTCTTCTTCCTCTTTTTCCTCCTCCTCCTCCTCCTCTTCTTCTCTTTGAAGTGAGAAATAATAACGACCAATACACTTTTCGAATAATTCGCTACTGTATTTCGATAAAAAGTTTTGTCCCATTCCCACGCATTTTGCACCGTGAATTTTCAAAATTGAAAAACGCACTATATTCGAGGGAACGGAATATTTACGTTACATGTGTTCCGAAAAACGTAATGATGATCGAAAGTAACAGTAATCGAACGCACGAAATATGGCGTACGTGTTACGTCGCGAACGACCGAACTCGAACTATGGATAACTTCGTGCACGATGTAAACATAACGTGTCGGTTACAAACGGCGTCAAGGGTGTACGTACCACACTGAGCTGATGTTTTCGCTGTCCGTCTATCTCTTTCCTTCCAGCGTCGTGATTCGGCTCGTAGCCTTCGATCGAGTCCAAACCGATGAAAAACGTTTCTGTTAAAAATAATATCGTTCCTTGTTCGATCTTTTGACTAGATTATTCTATATTATCTTCCTTCTTCGTCTATCTTATCTACGGTCCGTGTCTTTCTGTCCCTCTCGGTGTCTCGCACACACACACATACACATAGGCACACGATCGACACGCACTTTTCCTCGCGAAAAGTCTCGGTCGAACGTTTATTATTGCACACTGGTTACTCGTGATATTGCACTTCAAAACTGCACTCTTTATCGTATTATTTTATTACTCTCTCCCATTCGTCCGAGCTCCCTTCAGGACGTCCCTGTAATCAGCTCTGCCGACAGTTGGACTTCGTTTCCCACTGTCATTGCACTCTTTCTCACCGCATCACCATCGACTGTCACTCGCATTTACAGATCAGCTGCTCGCACGGCACTCCCAATACCAGTTCCATGATCGCGTTCCTCGAGATCCAGGAAACGCAGAAATGACTCGTGAAATTCTCGAACAAGCCTACCGGCTCGCCATCGAAACGACAACCATCTCCCGAACAACGGTCCACGATGCAGCAAGATCGATGTGTCTCATGATAAACAGTAGCTCGAAGCCGTTCACCTGTTCTCGTTGTCTTTCCTTGCAGCTGAGAGTCCTCTGCTCGTTCGTTCTGGCTCACTGCACGAGAAATTCCAACTCCGAATTCCGTGGAAAGGATGGTATCGTAACCGCGGCCATTTTACCGGCAACGAAAAGTGGCGGGAAAACGCTGCCACCGGAAAAGCGACCGTAATTTTTCTCCACAACTTCCTCCCGCGAATGCTGTCGATCGATCACTTTCTCTCGCTGCACGGGTAGCACGCGTCTCCTCCTGGAAAACGGATATCGTCCTTGCTTCTCTTCTTTTCTTTTTTTGTTTCGTTGTGACGAGCGGGGAAAAAACAGAACCGGCAAGGCCCGGAAATCGTGAACCGTGGACCGCGGACGCGGTTGCAGCACTGACGCGGGAGCCGCGATTCGAACAACCGTTCGGCCGTGCTCGGCCCTCTTCGGCCGACCTCGGCTCTGCCCCTCGCGATACATCGCGAGTTGCTCGTGCTGCGAGAACATTGGTGGGGGTAACGAGCTGCCGCGGTGGGATTAGGAGAAAGAGTGGGGAAACGGGCGGGTTTTCTCTCTCTCTTATTATTCCCTTCTCTTTCCTAATGCCTCTTTCCTTCTCGCTCCTTTTATCGAATATATATACGTTGTATTAATTAATTTAATATTACTTTTAAAAATATTTATAGAAGGAAGGTCAAGCGAAAAAGAAAAAAAATTATTTCGTGAATTCGAGAAAATTGTGGAGAAAAAAATTTTATTCATCAATTATTTTCTATAATAAAAAGTTTCAAATATTTGGAAATAAATATTATCAATTAGATTAGATAGAATTGTTTACTATATAACTTGATAAATACATTAATACATCGTGACATTAATTACGGGAGGGAAAAGAACACGAAAGACCGAGAATGTGTCATTTCTTTCATATCTACTCTTCACGGAAGAAACAAAAACTGAGCATTCTCCAAAAAAGTATTTTACTTTTTTTCCACGACATTTATCTACCAATTCCGACTAATCCTCTCGTGGTACCGCCGATCTAATATTATTACGAGTTACACGATCGTAAAGATGTCAAAAAATTCACAGAGCACGAAGCTCGAGCTCGCGCCATCGTACATTTAATTAACTAATTATCTGATACACGCTGATGAAACGTGAAATGAGTAGTTTT